TTTAAGCTCTCGCCCAATACAGAACTCTTATTTAAGGGATCTATCAGCTTGCTCAAGTATGGTAGTGGGCAAGAGCTTCTTGGATGCGAACTAATAAGAGCTACGTACTGCTTCGGGATTTTCTCATTTTTACCTCTTTCAACTTCCATTTAGAAAAATTTTCTAATACTTCATAAATAATCTACCTTGGACTCTATGACAATTTCAAAAACAGAAAAGAAAATCACCTTACCTATAGTGGTGAGAAGAGTAGCTGTGAAGAACAGAGCGGTGATGAAAGTCCATGAATACTGAAAATCGAGATATTCGAGTTTTTCAAGAACTTTGTGAACTAAAGTCGCGTTTGAATCAAAACAGACTTTGCAGCGACGAATTTGTCGAAGAAGGGTCGATGACATGCTTGCTTATGAGATTTATTTACGATGCCTTTGGGAATTGTGTGAGTAGTCGACAAATAAAGTACTTGCTTATCCAAGACTTGCAGAAGCTATAGAAGCTAGTGGATGCCATAAAAATAGTTAGCGTTCAAAGAACTGCATAGATTCAAATTTATGAAGTTAAGAAAAAATAGCTTGTTCTTTCCTTTAAAAATATGTATTCGGGTAAAGGATATACCCCAAAGTTTGTAGAAGAAGAACAAAAATTCTTGACAAAAAATATTGAATTTGCCATACATGACTCCCTTCCTGACTCGAAAAAAAGCACTAAAACCGCGCTGTAACGTCCTCGTTATCTTTCAAGTATCGAAAGCTCGTTTCTTACACTTGTTGAGTTTTGTTTTCAATGAGAGTAAAAGCACTTACCGCTTCATTCTCACCACCAGGCTTCAACAGAGCCGCACTAATGAAATGTGTGTCAAAGGCTTCGAAAAGAATGCGAGTAGAGTTTTCAACGTACAAGTTTGCTCGTTCTTCGATTAGATCTGAAAACTACATAATGTATCGAATAAGACAACATTTACGCTGAAAAATTTCCTTACGGATAATACGATTCTTCAGAAAACTGAAAGAAACAAGAAAACTAGTGCTGTTGAGTACCGCCCGAAAAAGACAATTAAAGGATACGTATGATAGCTGAATGCATGATATTGAGGGACTACTGAATTTTTGGCTCTCTCTGCCCGCAGCCGCGCATACTTTTCTGCTGGAACCATCCAGGTAAAG